GTGGTATCGTGGTGCAGATAGGTAAGAGTCGTATAACGTCGCATAATACGAAGTATACGAAAGTGTGAATGTTCGCGCGAGAGAACGTGTCTAATCGGGCGAAACTGCGCAACGTGGCCGTTGAGAACTGCGCAACGCAGGGTTGACTCTGCTACAACTCGTCCGCGCTCGCCCGGCCGAGCCCCAAATCGTGAAGAAAGTGGGGGAGCCAAAAAGAGCCAGATGAGCAGAGTGCCGCACCCCCGCCTGCTTCCTCTCCTCCAACGCTAGCATCCATTCTGAATATATTATAGAAGCGTAGAAACGCGTTCAGCTTTCATCAATTCCTTCTCCGGTCAAGAAAATTCGGCTATATAATCATGTACAGAGCCTACGCAGGCAGGGTTCAGAGCTGGCGTCGTCCATGCGATTGAGCGACTAGGCCATGAATCGGGATAAAGTATTCGTATCGATTAGGCGATTAGGCGAGTGAGCGACTTGGCGAGAAGGCGATAAGAATGGGACAAGTATTGATCTGCTTACCCTCCCACTGGCAATCTCCAACTCGCAAGTCGTACAATCGCTTAATTGATACATATCCTTCTTCTTGTAGACTAGTCGCCTAATCGCATATACGATCGCCAGCTCTGAACGCCGCTTTAGTCATTGTGAATCAGCGACGCTTTAGTCAGGCAGCTTAATCAGGGAACGATAGTAGATATCAAAGATGAAATGAAGAATTCCACCATCAGTATTTCTCATTTCTCATCTTCTATGTCCAGAGAGGTTGAATGTCACTCGTCGAAGGTGTGCTTCTCAAAGTAGCCATTATGCCAGCCGCCTTCATGTTCTCTGTACTCGGTTGTTTAAATATTAAGAACAATAGCGGTGAGCATTACGATATTTGGGTGGCCCCATGTCCTCAGGGGGAACATTCAAAACAGAGTATCCAAAACCGCTGGTTGGTGACCCTAGGACTAAGTCCGGGAGAGGGGAGAAACGCCTGGAAGAGGAAAGGCTTGCTCACATTCTCCCATCAAATCCCTCCCTCTCCCTGAAGGCTTAGTCCCAAATTCTACAAGTGGCTCACTTATTTCAATGTCCTCCCCTGTTGACATGATGAGCCTATTTGGGTTATATCATGTCTCATAATCTCAAGTGCATCTATTTCAGATAAAGATGTCGACAGCGCCCAATGTAATACATTTCAAATGGTAAAGACTATTTGGTGCTTTCATGCCAATCATCGCCCATCCCTCAGGGTGAATTTTGAATAGTGCTGTAACAACCTGAGGGAAGCACTGTATACACCCACCAAAATTACTATATTCTAGTTTCCGATGAAGCGGAGTCAGATCGATAGTGAAGAAAGCACAGAAGAATCGGAAAGCACGAGCAGTTCCAGAAATTCGGCCTGTGGTGACAGGAGAAAAAAGAAAAGTTAGTGAGCCTCAAGTGTAGTTAGTAGGAGGGGGAGGGAGTTTCGTGGCAGACACCCAAAGCCTCCAGAACCACGATACATACTCCCATTTTGTGCTCGTTCAGTCCCCTCCTTTCACAAGCAAGATGGTTCACTCGCTCTGAGCTTTCTTCTCCTACAAAAACTTTGGCGCTATCGCAAGGCACGGGGCATTGCGGTGGCAATGCATTTGAGACCGCGTAAAATATGTCCTCGTTGTCAAAAATACACCAAGCCTTGGGTGGAGGAAAAGAGCTTGTCCGTTTGCTGTTGATCACACTCATTCCAAAAATAAAGGCTATGGCTACCCTCACAAATTTGACCGCCTCATAAGTGTAACACGCGAGAAATGAACACGGTTCTACGTGGGCCAAATCGATGCCACTTCAAGATGTGTATACCAGTAGAGTGATCTGAACTGCAAAGCAGCCTCGATTCCGAACGAGCCCTATATGATATCTCAACGAGGAGGACAAATGACGAGTTTTTTGTAAGTATTCTCTCGTTTAGGAGAGTGCTTGGAACGCTCCAGGAAACTGCTGAGCGTTTATAGTTCGCGATGGCATATGGCAGCCTTCGAGGTTGGCAACCGTACACGCGATAAGGCGATTGGGCGATTAGTCTACAAGGGGGATAGTATCGATTAGGCAACCAAGCGACCGCTTAATGGGCAGGAGCAAATAGGAATCGATACGCATCCCTTTCTTATCACGTACTAGCCTAACCGTCTAATCAATACGTACACTTCCTTATTGAAGCATCGCCTGATCGCATGAACAATCGCTAACTCTGAACGCTGCTTGTGCGGTTACACGACCAGGCGACTAGGCGATTAGGCTGAGTTCCTAGTTCGCAACAGCGGAGATTAAGATAGTACACGAAGATGAAAAAGATATGTATTGGGAGATTACTATAGTAGTGTCCCCTGGCAACCGCCGTAACCACCTT